CACATGTAGTAATAAAAAGGAAAGAAAGAAAAGAGAAGAAGAGAATTGAATATAAGAAGAAACTTGTCCAGGTAGTTATTACATAAACATTTTGATTACCTAAGTGCATAAAAGTATGTACTTTCCTTTTCAAGCAATACTCGCGTTTATACAGCTAGTTATGCGCATATTTAACTTTTTATGCACTGGGCAATAACACTTTTAGCGCCTTCGGAATACGGAGAACTTTTTAAACACATTTGAAACGTCAAAACATCAGACGGAAGGGCAAGCAAAAAGCAAACCTCCTCGCTCTGCCTCGGCTCTACTATCACCGAAGACGCAGAGACGCCCATGACTCGCCATGCATGTCTTCACCGGGATGCGTCTTGGCTGCCGGTCGCAATGTCTCTCTTGCTGTGACAAGGAGCAAGTTAAGAAATCCTGTGGAGAAAGACAGCAGGCGTCCTCCGTAAAGCCACTCCACCCTCCATCGTCATAGCCGGCGCAAGACTCGAGAGATATTTACTGGCCTCTCATTCGTGGCTGACTTGTTACTCAGAAAGGAATAACCTCCCATGATCGCTGAAGGAACGCCGCGCGACCTGATGAAGTGCATACTACAGCGGCACGTACTTACGTACACCTGGCCCCAGAATGGTTCTGTTCGAAACAACAACCACAGGCAGGAACATATGTAGGAGAAATCAGCACAGCAGGTTCCCAGGGACGATCTTATGCCGCACGTCCGCAACTCCCTGCGGCTCGCTCGTCTCACGAGTTCATGGGCATGGGAAAAGGCGGTTACTCACCCGAGCGAACGCCAATAATGCTTTTTATTATGTTGGTCGACCAGATTATTAAAGGGACCAGGGAAGACTTGGCTCGGCCAAGCGCGTGGCGCCTGGGCAATGCACTGCTAGCCCTGACTCTAACACAGGCTTGAGCGAGCTTTGTCCCTCTCATCCAGCATGGCTGTGCATTCAGGATGAGCCGGTACACTTAAGCACTTCGTACATTGAAGGTGTTGTTCAGCATAATGTCGGCCTTGATAGTCAACGATACGGGTGCCCAGGAGCCCAGGAGCCTTGGTATCTGTTACTGAAGCCCTCTCCTCTCAAGGTGCGTGGACTCCCCGCTGACCCCCTTATGTTCCAGACGCTGATCTGCTTGGCAACGCTGGTTAGAAGTGGAATTACTGGGTGACAAGCAGGAAAGCAGGGGAAGTAAGCCCCCAGAAATACGGTAACACCCCCCTTTGCAGCGGAGTGTCTCCTGCCTCGGGAGCAAAGTGGTTCAATTCAAATCACAATTCGTTATCTCTGCCTCCGCTCGCTACATGCATTAATATGCAAAGGACCTTGACTCCCTTCTTCCGTTCACTCGTTGTCTGCCATAAAACCACCGGCCCAACCTAACCCACCATTTGATATTTGTCGGCGTT